TAAAATTTACACTTAATCTATTAATAAAGTTTATTGGAGCAAGACTCCGTTGGATATAAAAAAAAAAAAAAAAAAAGAAAATGATTTTTGTTAATCACTATAATAAATTTTTTATAAAAATTAGATTTATTAAATAGTAAAAAAAAAAATTATTTTTTTACCATTTTTAAAAATTTCAGAAATTATATAAACACCTGCTATTCTTTGAGTAGGTGAGTAGAGGTTATTCTTCTAAATGGTCATGATCATGTACCATGTACCATGTATATAAATTCTTGACCTTTTTTTTTTCATTTCGGGTTACAAAAATCTTCCCAAAAAAGTATTGTTGACAAGTGATTGAACTTAAGAACTTACCAATACTCACCAACTGGGTGACTTCACCAAAAAAGAAATAAAAATAGGGTAAAATCTATACTATGATAATTAATAAGGCAAAATTAAAGATAGGCCAATTTTAGCTTGAACTAAATTTTTTTTTTGAAAAAAAAAATGTATTGACTTTCTAACTGTAAAAATTTTACATATGGTTTTATGTATGTAATCATGAGAAATAAGACTATGATCTTTTAGCGATCGATTCTATAGAATATAAGGCAGATTCCTAAACTATAGTATGTCGCAATAAAAGTTTCCTAAAAATGTATTTTGTTTTATACTAAGCATAAAATAATTCAAAAATATACTTTGCATTTTTTGATCTGTAAAGGTACTTTCGGTGAAAGGTTCTTTACAAATTTTTGGATGATACGCATTTAAAATAACTATTTTTGTTTGAATAATATAAATCATTATAAATTATTGTAAATTACTCAGAAAAAAATTCAATTTCGTATTAAAGATAAAAAATTTAATAAAATATATTAAAGATAAAATTATTTAATTTTATTTTATTTTAAACAAAGAAATGAATGAATTATGGTAAAATATATTGGGAAAATAATATATTTAAAATCACAATGCAAAAAAATTACATTTTTAATATTAATATTATCAATATTTTTAACAATCTTGTTTTATTTCTAAGTTAATCATCACGCATAAAAGAAATCTTTTTAATACTTATATAACAAGCCAAAAGAGCAGTATAGAATAAAGTAGCAGTAATTTTTTTTTCCAACGGAGTCATGTAACAGATAATAAATAAATGAATAAATAAATAAATGAATGAATGGTAACGCATAATCACTTATCGTTAGTACCCCAAGCGAATAATTTTGATTATTTAACGATGCATCAAATTTTACAGGGATTCAAAGAAAAATTAAATTAAATACAAATATGTTATTCATTCGAATTGTTCAAGTTTTTTTTGATAAATGTTTGGGATAAAGTTTTTCGTAAAAATATTTAACATAAACTTAAGCTCTTCTATTGATTACTTTGTCTTGTAGAATTATAGTATACAACTGAAACGTGAATTGACATATTTATCAAACAACATGTTGTATCTATCGAATAAAATTTAATTTATTACCTCAATTTATGTTAAAATCATGTAAACGTAAACTTACATTGACTAGTTGGTAGTTTTTGGTATAGACTAAAGAAGATATGTCTGTTTGATTCTATAAAACAAAGTATTTGTTATAGCTAAAATTGACTTAGAAATATAATAACTAATATCTTACAAAAGCTTTATAGTCAATATCAACTGAAAGATTATTGCAGATGCAAGCTGCTAAAATGGAATGTTAAGTAAAAGTGTGGGTTTGAATCCTGCGGAATGAATAACACGATAACTATCTATATCATTTAAAGTCTTTACGTTTGGTGATAAGGACTTCAAATGGTCAAATTAAATCATATAGATTTATATTTGTACAGTCGCGTCGCAAAGTAATGCCTGATTTTCCGGTCAACAATATGCAATATTTCACAACTGATTCCCCTTTTTTTTCTTTATTTATGTTTTTTTTCCTATCCATTTATTTTTTTATGATTGAATAAATGTTATATAACAATTTTTCCAGTTAAAAATGACATCCACTCATGCCCAGTTGACTTCTCAAGATACAGGGTAAATACTGACATATACTGAGACTTTAAATGACACACAAATTGCAAAAAAAATGGAACGAGATCCTACCACAGTATGTAGGTTTATTGCCAAGTACAAGAAAACTGGGAAAACTGAAAATTTATCACGACCAGGATGGTCACCAGCCCTTAACAATGATGAAAAAGATGCACTTGTAAATGAAGCCACAAAAATACGATGTGCACCATTGCATGAAATTATCAATAAGTTAGGTTTAAGCTGCATTTTAACAACTGCTAAAAAAAACACTATATAATGCTGGGATTCATTCCTATATTGCAGCAAAAAAGCCATTTATTTCAGAAAATAATGCAAATAAATGCATTAGCTGGTGCAAGAAAATAAGAACAAATCTGTTGATGATTGGTCACACATAGTTATTTCAGATGAAATAAGCATGGAAATTGGAAAACAATCATGACAAATAAAAGTATGGTGACATACAGGAGAGAGATATGATGTTAGGTGTTTAACACCCACTTTCAAAAGTGGTTGGTGCTCAGTAATGGTATGGGGATATTTTGTGGGAGAAATAAAAGGACCATTAGTGTTTTGTGATGAATCTAAGGAAAAAAAAAGAAAAAAGAAATGCAGATACATATATTAGAATTCTAGAGACTCACCTTTTACCATTTTATAATACAGCTCATGAGTTAATAGGTGGGAGACTGGTGTTTCAACATGATAATTCTCCAATTCATACCGCAAAAAAATGGTTTGAGACAAAAAAAATTAAAAATATGGCCTGGCCAGCGAATTCTCCCGACCTTAACTCTATAGAAAACATCTGGAAATTGTTAAAGGCAATATCCAGAAACAAAAAAATTCCAAAAGCCATAGATGAGCTCAAGACTGCTTTGAGTGAGGAGTGATCAAACTTTGATGTATCAATTCTTAGGAAGGTTGAGGACTCAATGCACGAAGAATTGAATCAGCATTGGATGCAGGGGGGGCCAACAAAGTATTAATTAATTCTAAAAAAAAATCTTTATGTACATAATATAGAAATAGAATAAATCATGTACATATCGGAATTTTTCTTTTAATAAAAATCGGGTGTACATAAGTTTAATACATTAATCACTGGGCGTTTCAGCAATCAAACTTTCCAAAAAATTTGGTTAAATTCAGTCATCACGAATACATAATCATTTTTGAGAAAATTGCATTTAAAGAATTTCATGCTTGTTACATTACGTAATTATTTTATGAACATTCTCTATAATAAAATTATTAATTATATGAACCATTTCACATGTACAATTATTAATCAGACAAAAAGAAAGAGATAAATAGTCAACTGTTCGAGTCGTAAATAAAATATGACAAATATAAATGAAAATAAATAAAATAAATAAAATAAAATAAGTCTATTAGATAAAATAAATAGAATATAAGCTATTTAATTAATAATTAAAATAAAAGTTAAATAAAAGATGCTAAAGAAATATCTAATTTTATTTTCGCTTCATTACTTTGTGTTCAAGGTTAATATTTCCTACTATTGAATTTTTTGGTTCATCTATTCGGGGAGCTTTTTTGGCCAAAGTAACATTAATAAGATCTCCATGAGATTCTTGAGATTTCATAAGATTTTCAAAATTTTCATTAAAGTTATCAAGACTATTAAAAGTTATTTTAAGAATGTGAGACATCTTGGGACATAGTTTAA